ATAGATAATGAAGAAATGAAATCATTAATTTTAACAAGAAGCTTATTGTACTATTTGCAATGTTAAGTATTTTATCCTGATTGATGAGTATTTGAATATTTTGAATTATGATCTTCATAATTATAAATTCAAAATATATCATAGCTCTTTACATCTATGGTAATTCATCTCTTTTATCTCTTAAATATAATGTTCTTAAACTAGTGAACAAATAAAAACAATTTCTTGAATCTTCGAATTATTATATGTACATCTCTCCAATTAATTCTTTTAGGAAATACTGTTTATTTGTCATGAGCATTAAACCCTCTAGCATCAATTTAATTAGATGTTATAATTTAAGGATGGCCAAATCTTTTTCTTAAGGATTTAAACTTTGATGAGGATCATCCTAAATAATAATTTATAGAATTACAATAATATTTAAATTACCATATTAATCTATCCTCTCTTTTTTGATCTAATTAAATACTTTTGAAAAAACCATTTAAGTCCATTGTTTAAACTTTATTGCTTTGATCTAGTCATTATAAATTACTTCCTTTATACAGTCATTGTAAATGACAGAATTTAATCTTTTTTTCTAAATTAGAGAGCTTGAAAATATAAGGATGAAATACTGCACTAATCTAATCCATCTAACTAATGCTCTGATTGCTAATATACAATATTTTAATCTCTGCCTCAGTTTGAGCTTAGGCACTTTATCAACAAATTTTATAGTTAATTTGACAAGTTATTCCATTTGTTTCTTTTCTCTATCTTAAACGCTAGGTAATGGTGGTAAATAATGCTCCCATTCACCATTTTTATCATATCTCCCTGCAAAACCTTTTCTCATATCTATTTAACCATGGGCCTTCTATTATTCTTTTATGACGTAATTTGTTCGATTTTACTTTATAGATGCTTCTCCAATGAGAGAATTTTCAATTGATTTGGATCTATCAGATGTGCTTCTTGATCCGATATTAGAAATTTCTTATTTTAATACGAAAAGTACCATGATTGCTTGTGCTTTTTCTATGATTTTAACTTTTATATGTTTCTACTCTAGATAAAGCATTTTAAATATTGTTAATTTCTTATTTGGAATCAATCATTGTTTGTTCTTATTCTATTTATTTCTTTATTAAAGGGAGCTTCAATTAAAATGTCATTTCTAAGTTATTTAGACAATTTATCCTTATTTAATTAAATAATAAAAACAAAATTCATATTATTCTACTGAATTTGATATATTATTCATTAGATTATGCTCAATAAAAAAATAAAGCATATAGCCTATATTTATAGAAACAATAGAACAAAGTTTTCAAATTGAATAGAAACATAATTATAAACTTAAATAAGTTTTATTTGTTAATTGTAATTAACAATTCAATTCACGATAAAGAAGTAAACTTTTATTTAATTATAACAAGTATCTCACTTATTTTATAAAATTTAAATTAAAATTTTATCAATTACATATTTTTATTTATTTAAAAATTATTCTGAGAAATGATATTGATAAATCTAAATATATAAAGTCTAATATTTTTATACATTCTTCATCATAGTTCCTTTTAGATGCTTTTTTATCTTTTTTAGATTTATGATAATTGTAGCTTCAAAAGTTTTTTTATTTTAATTATCTAAATTAAATAACTTCATATTTTTTTAGTCCAGCCAGATACTTTCGATGATAAAATCAAAATACCTAACTTCAGCAAAAAAATGTTGAACTAAAATTAGCATTTTTTCATTTCCAATACNTTGATCTAATTAAATACTTTTGAAAAAACCATTTAAGTCCATTGTTTAAACTTTATTGCTTTGATCTAGTCATTATAAATTACTTCCTTTATACAGTCATTGTAAATGACAGAATTTAATCTTTTTTTCTAAATTAGAGAGCTTGAAAATATAAGGATGAAATACTGCACTAATCTAATCCATCTAACTAATGCTCTGATTGCTAATATACAATATTTTAATCTCTGCCTCAGTTTGAGCTTAGGCACTTTATCAACAAATTTTATAGTTAATTTGACAAGTTATTCCATTTGTTTCTTTTCTCTATCTTAAACGCTAGGTAATGGTGGTAAATAATGCTCCCATTCACCATTTTTATCATATCTCCCTGCAAAACCTTTTCTCATATCTATTTAACCATGGGCCTTCTATTATTCTTTTATGACGTAATTTGTTCGATTTTACTTTATAGATGCTTCTCCAATGAGAGAATTTTCAATTGATTTGGATCTATCAGATGTGCTTCTTGATCCGATATTAGAAATTTCTTATTTTAATACGAAAAGTACCATGATTGCTTGTGCTTTTTCTATGATTTTAACTTTTATATGTTTCTACTCTAGATAAAGCATTTTAAATATTGTTAATTTCTTATTTGGAATCAATCATTGTTTGTTCTTATTCTATTTATTTCTTTATTAAAGGGAGCTTCAATTAAAATGTCATTTCTAAGTTATTTAGACAATTTATCCTTATTTAATTAAATAATAAAAACAAAATTCATATTATTCTACTGAATTTGATATATTATTCATTAGATTATGCTCAATAAAAAAATAAAGCATATAGCCTATATTTATAGAAACAATAGAACAAAGTTTTCAAATTGAATAGAAACATAATTATAAACTTAAATAAGTTTTATTTGTTAATTGTAATTAACAATTCAATTCACGATAAAGAAGTAAACTTTTATTTAATTATAACAAGTATCTCACTTATTTTATAAAATTTAAATTAAAATTTTATCAATTACATATTTTTATTTATTTAAAAATTATTCTGAGAAATGATATTGATAAATCTAAATATATAAAGTCTAATATTTTTATACATTCTTCATCATAGTTCCTTTTAGATGCTTTTTTATCTTTTTTAGATTTATGATAATTGTAGCTTCAAAAGTTTTTTTATTTTAATTATCTAAATTAAATAACTTCATATTTTTTTAGTCCAGCCAGATACTTTCGATGATAAAATCAAAATACCTAACTTCAGCAAAAAAATGTTGAACTAAAATTAGCATTTTTTCATTTCCAATACAGTAAGGGGAAATAAATTAGACAGAATTAATGCATTTACATTTAGTATAGCAAAAGAATTTTCTAAATTATACAAAGTATTGATGAAATCTTGTTTTTAAGATGATTGAATTTATAATATTCTTCACTAATGAGCATCAATCTAAAATATTGATTTTAATTCATGTAGAAACTCAAAATTAAAGATTTACTCTAAATTGTATTAAAAGTAATATGTTTGTTTTGAACTTTATTTATTTTTTTAGTCATCTTTTCAAATGTTATTCTCATAATTTTATTAACTTAAACACTTCATAAAATTAATAAAAATCAACAAAAATTAGTAATGTGAAATAATTTTTATTTTAAGATTCTTTATTTTTAATAAAGATATAATAATAAAGAATAAAGAAATATAAATAATATAGATTGAATGAGGAATATAAAGATTGATAAAGTATAATTTAATTCATGTTATTGGAATGTCTGAACAATAAAAAGGAGTTAAAAATCAAGAAAATAGGATAATTATTAGAAAAATTAATATTTAAAGAGAATTTGCTATAGATAAAAATATTTAAAATCATATCTATTATAATTAATTGTTGGTTATCATAAAAGCATCGGCTATTTCTTATTTAGGATTACATTTTAAAAGTATAATGAATATTTAATTTGTATTATTTTCTGGTATTAATAAAGTACAAGATCCACTATTATTATTTAATCCCTAAAATCCATAAAACCCTTTTTTCATAAATTTTATTTATCTATTTTTCCAAGTGTAAACAGTAGAAAGATCACCATTTTCATATGTGGCTCTACAAGTATAACTTTTTGTTTTCAAAATTCTTTAAAATATTTCAAATTTCAATAATTAATCACAAAGTAAACACATATCCTTCGCTGTAGTCACATTATTAGGATCGACTAAACCTTCTAAATTGGTATATCTAGTATTATTCATCTTTAATTATTATGCATTTCTATTAAATAAATCAAGGAATTTATTTTTTATCAAATTTCTTTAAGTAATTCTATATAATTTTTCACATAATCCATTTAAAATACTCCATAAAGCATCATTTCCTCCTCTCAAAATAAGAGCATACAAAAGTTATTCTAGCGTCAAATAATTATAAGAATTTAAATCAGCTTTAGGTTCAGGTACACTTTCTGCGTAATAAGGTATTTGCAACTTCATTTTGTAGTCTTAACATAATTACAGTATAGAATAAATTGCCATTAATTTAGTTAGGCATCCAACTTCACATTTCATATTTTCATTCACTCCATAAAACTTTGAGCTGTTTTGATAAGCACACCACCTTCTAGCTGACACCCTTAATGTTAAAAATTTTGGAGGTGTTTTCTCCTAAACTTATGTGAGTATTCTTGTAGATTTTCTGGTTATAGGCCTTTAAATTACTTAAGAATAAGAACGAATTCTATCTTTCTGATTCCATTTATTTGAATTAGAAAAGTTGATTTTCTTATTAGAACATGTACAATTTGAAACTTGTATCAATATTGGCTATTCATCTGGAATATATGTAATACCATTCACTCCACAAATTGTAGGAATTATTTCACAAATTCTGTATTGTTACAGTTTGCTTTTATTAAAGATTGAATGGTTCTTAATCTTCATTAAAAAATAAAATATTATTTGTTAAAGCAATAATAATTGTTTAATAATACTGAAAATAGATAAGCGATGAGCTGATTTCAATTGAATCCTACTTAAATTTATAGGTTCAACAACTTAGGCCTTATATTTATGAAAAAATTAAAGTTGGTTTTTGAATTGTTTTGATTATATCTGAAAAATAGTTTTTAAGAAATTTGTCAAAATTTTTTAATATATCTCAATTTAATAATAATTAAATCAGAATATTTCTAAAAAGTAGGAAGAAATCTAAAAAGAATAGATTTGCAGCCAACCATTAATATTTTTTTAAAGTCATCTTGGAGACTAAAATAATATTTATTATTAAATACCTTTGAATCTAAAGAAGTATCCGTTATACAAATAATAGCATTATTATAATTATAATTGTTATAATGTTATCTGATAAAAATTTATCTTGTAGTTAATAAAACAATATAAAAATTGATATGTAAATAAAAGTAATATTTTTTTTAAAATTAAATGAGTTTATGATAAGTTTCTAAAGTTACCATCAACTTAGAATGGTTAGAATACTTTTTCAATAATCACTCTAACTAAAATTTATATTCCTTTATAAATTTGTTATCCTAAAAACAATAGTAGATTTACTTGATATAAAATTAGCATTCATAAGGATAAAATACGTTGATATGTTCAGATAACTAATTCTATTTACATTAAATAAAAATATTTGAAAATGAAAAATAACTGCAATTAGAAATTAATATATATAGAGTGCAATCAATAGAGCTATGACCTAATCGTAAATTATTGATGATAAATGCCAAAAAAGCTAAATAAAACTATTTTTCTTTTGATTTAATTTTTATTTTCGATATAGATTCATTTAAAAGGAAAAATATAATGTGGCTAGATAAATACAAAATTCTATAAATTTACTAAATATTTAGAGTATTAAAAAAAATCAAAGACAGCCTGATAAGCCAAATAATTCCATACTTAATATTTTATTTTGAAAATTTCTTTGTCATTAAAATCACCTTTTAGCAATAAATATTATGATGGCAATATATTCCTTTAAACCAGCCCTATCACTTTCTTCAGCGAGAGATTTATCAAAAAACTTCTATTCAATAGAATAATTCATCTCTTCTTTGATTATCTTTAATGTAATTTATTATCATTTCTAATTTATTTTTCATTTCCTTTTGAACATTATTTTTAATCTTTAGCATTAAGAGATTCTTCATACCAATGCATAATTAAAATAAATGATTCAAGAGAATTTTATGTAATAAGATATTTTCAAAAAATTAGGATATTTGGTAAGTATATAAATGGATTTATGATACTTTCTACTGTTTAAAAATGAAGTTAACTAAATTTATCATAATAAATAGAGTGCGGTTTAAAAGAGATTTATTATTTGAAATAATAATTTGTATAATTTTATAATTTATTAAACGAATAATTGTTCATATTTAAGAAATAATTGTGTTAAATTTTGAATACACTAATAGGCAATATTATTTTCAGGTATTTCATTTATATTTAAACATGATATTTAAAGTTGAAAAAACCAAATAGAAATACTTAATCATAACTAATTATAATAATATTTTTAATATTTTGAAAATATCGAACTCAATTTAACTACAAAAAATTAGTGATTTTTTAGAGATTTTTCATAGAAAGGAATCAAATTAAAATAAATACTATTCTACTAATCAATTTAAAATTCAAACAATAATAAAATAAAAAAAATGATTATTATTAATTTAATAAGCCTATTTAAATAATTGAATGAGCTATTTTATTAAAGTCAAGTTTTATAATTTACCAATAATTTTTGATAGTGAAAAATCAAGAAAAACTTATACTACCATAAAATGGAAAAAAAAATTTAATAATTATTTTATCAATTAAATTATACAAAATTCATAATTTTAAGGATGACAGAAGAAAATTTTAAATACACAATTATGATATTGTAAAAATCAAAGTAGCGAAGTTTAACTAAGTAAATTACTTGTAGTTAGAATATGTTGAATTTAGAAAATAAAAAAACTTAAAAAATTAAAACTGAAAATATAAACTGAAACTAGAAACTGAAAAATATAATAAAGCCTTAAATAAGTATTTTATCATCTTAAAATAAGCTTTAAATTCAGAAATAGCTAAGGTTAATTCATTTTCTCCTATACAAATTAATTTTTAAAGAATAATTTAATTTTTCCTTATGATTAATTTGATAGAATTTGAATAAAATATGATAATAAAATTTTTAAATGAAATATGATTGTGATATAAATATCATTAAATCGTGTTAATGGTAGATACATTTTAAGTGTATCCCAAAATTTTTCTTAATTGAATAATGGATTTACCTACATCACCTAAATAGAGTGCCTTCTTAAATTTATTATTCTAGTAAGGATATGTCTTGGTTTCTTCCACATAAATATCTGTTAATAGTTATTCTTCTTCCCAAACATTGACATTTTTATCATATAAATTTTTAGCAATATCATTTTCTGTCCATCCAAAGCCAAATTTAAATCCTTATGAATACATGAATTCGATGGAGTCAAGGAATATTTTCATAGAATGCTTTGACCCCATAAATTTAGATGAAAATCCAAAAGTTCCAATAACAAAACATTCTCCCTATTTTGGATTATATCTATCAAAAAAGTCCTTTAAAGCCTTGTAACGAACATACTATCTGACTAGACTCAGTTTGGGAATAATATTGAAATCTTTTATAGATAACTATTATTCTGTCAATCTAACTTCATTAATGTCTGTGTAAGAAACTACAGCTATTATATTATAGATATTTTTTTCATATGATTCTTTCTCATAATAGACTAATATCCATTTATATGTACGATTTATTAAGAAAGACTTAAATTCCTCATACAATTAATCATATTCTAAATTCAATTCTTTGTAGAATCCATTTTTTATCTATATAATTTATAATTTATACTCCAAAAGCTTCTGTTAAAGTCTTTGCAATAAGCTCAGTATTTTCTCCTTGATACTCTGTTCTTACAAATTNTACTACCATAAAATGGAAAAAAAAATTTAATAATTATTTTATCAATTAAATTATACAAAATTCATAATTTTAAGGATGACAGAAGAAAATTTTAAATACACAATTATGATATTGTAAAAATCAAAGTAGCGAAGTTTAACTAAGTAAATTACTTGTAGTTAGAATATGTTGAATTTAGAAAATAAAAAAACTTAAAAAATTAAAACTGAAAATATAAACTGAAACTAGAAACTGAAAAATATAATAAAGCCTTAAATAAGTATTTTATCATCTTAAAATAAGCTTTAAATTCAGAAATAGCTAAGGTTAATTCATTTTCTCCTATACAAATTAATTTTTAAAGAATAATTTAATTTTTCCTTATGATTAATTTGATAGAATTTGAATAAAATATGATAATAAAATTTTTAAATGAAATATGATTGTGATATAAATATCATTAAATCGTGTTAATGGTAGATACATTTTAAGTGTATCCCAAAATTTTTCTTAATTGAATAATGGATTTACCTACATCACCTAAATAGAGTGCCTTCTTAAATTTATTATTCTAGTAAGGATATGTCTTGGTTTCTTCCACATAAATATCTGTTAATAGTTATTCTTCTTCCCAAACATTGACATTTTTATCATATAAATTTTTAGCAATATCATTTTCTGTCCATCCAAAGCCAAATTTAAATCCTTATGAATACATGAATTCGATGGAGTCAAGGAATATTTTCATAGAATGCTTTGACCCCATAAATTTAGATGAAAATCCAAAAGTTCCAATAACAAAACATTCTCCCTATTTTGGATTATATCTATCAAAAAAGTCCTTTAAAGCCTTGTAACGAACATACTATCTGACTAGACTCAGTTTGGGAATAATATTGAAATCTTTTATAGATAACTATTATTCTGTCAATCTAACTTCATTAATGTCTGTGTAAGAAACTACAGCTATTATATTATAGATATTTTTTTCATATGATTCTTTCTCATAATAGACTAATATCCATTTATATGTACGATTTATTAAGAAAGACTTAAATTCCTCATACAATTAATCATATTCTAAATTCAATTCTTTGTAGAATCCATTTTTTATCTATATAATTTATAATTTATACTCCAAAAGCTTCTGTTAAAGTCTTTGCAATAAGCTCAGTATTTTCTCCTTGATACTCTGTTCTTACAAATTAAATTTCTTTAAGTTATGATTTTAGTTGATTTTAATAGATATACATATTTGATATATTTATTATTCAAAAAATAAACTTTAGTTTTAACTTATAAACACCCAAAAAATCTTTATGAACTAGTTTAAAAGTTTATAAAAATCATATATCTAATAAAAAGTTTTATTCTTACTAAGAATTCATTTATATAAAGTTCTTTATTTGATGATGCAATAAATTTTAACAGATTTAATTTATTTAATTTAAAAAGTAGTTTTATTATTAATAAATCATTATATTAGTTATGGAATAAAAAGAAAGAAATACAAGAAAATTTTATCTTGTAATTTTTAATTTTATCATATTTTCTGTTTATTATTGACTTTTTAGTTAAATAATTAAATCAAAACCAACTTAATATTCTATGATTTTAATTGATTTCAATAAGAAATATTCATAATTCTTAATCAATTTTTTTTAAATTTTCAACTAAAAAATAATTGTATTTCTAAACAAGATTCTTAATTTAACATTTATAAATTATAATTAATGTTAATAATAAAAATCAAGGACATAAGTTTATGAGAGGAATTTTAATAGAAAAAGGAAAATAATTAATTATATTAAATAGCAAAATGAGACTAAGGTTTATTAATTAATTATATGTATTTATTTTTATTTGATATAACTTTTATATTGATTTACTAAGTACATTCTCAAAACAATTTTACTTTCTTTAACTTTCCGTTCTTCTGAATCTATTCTCTTATTTCTTCAATATCTTAGGGTTAATTTTTTTAAACTTAAGCTTCATGTTATTATTGATTATTTTATTATTCTTGTTCATAGTCTTGATCTTCTTCTAAATTCTATTAACTTTATTTCTTCAATTATTATTTTTTCTTTTTCTCTTCTAATTTCTTTTGTTATCTTTACTTTTCATTTAAAAAGTATTCTCCTGAAGCCATTAATAGATCTTCCTTTCTTGGCTATTATTCAGGTGGAAATGGTGTATATTCTTATATAATAACTTAAAATACCTTTCTTTTTTTTAATAACCTTTTTTCTTTTTTAATTTTATTTTTTGAAATGAGGTAAGAACCTATCCCAATTTTCATTCTACATATTTTCGTCTTTAGCTAATTCTCTTTTAATCATAAGTTCTTTAATACTGTAGATTGGATGTATATTTTACATAGTATCAACCACTACTTTTCTAACAGTCTAAAATAAAAAAATAATAATCGATAATAACTTTTAAATTCTTCCAATTTCCAATGACAGAAACAGTGCTTCCTTAGACCATTATATAACAATCAGTTAGCAATTCTAATGCTTTTAATGTTGCTCCATTTGGCCCAATTAGTCGTTGTCTTCTTTTAACAAATTTTTCTTTATTTCTTGTATAACTTCTAATTTTGATAATATCACAAAATGTTCCATCTTCTAATAATCTTAAACATTATTAAACAGGAACACTTCGTGCCAATAATTTTATAATATCTCTTGCTTTCATAATTGCCCATGGATCCCATGTTTTATTTGTTGTTTTCACTGTTAAAGATCCTTCCAACAGATTTAATTCAGCTCTTATTCCATGATCTTTTAGAGATTTTTTAACCATCCCAAATACTTCTTATATATATTTCTCTCGATATTTTGGAAATAAAGTAGCAAATGAACTTTCAGCTAAAAGACTCCCGTTCATTTCACCTGGTTGAATCTCTGGTATCTTCCATTTATCTATTGTGGGATCATTATCCCAAGGTTTATCCTTTCTGTATTTTTTATGATTTTTAACACCTTCTTGTTATTCAGACATTCCAATAACACTAATTAAAATTATACTTTATTAATATTTATATTTATACCAATTTATTTTATATTATTTATATGATTTATTCCTTTATTATTATTTTCTAATCAAAAATAAAGAATCCTTAAACTTAGTTTATTATTACTATAAATTATTTTCCATTAGAATTATCGTCAGTTGATTTTTATCAAGTTTATGAAGTGCTTTAGCATCTAAATACTTGAGAATAAGGCTTTAAAAGATGACTAAAAATAAAGCTTAAGATAAAGAACTTGAAACTTTTCATTCATTTTACAATTTAAAAATAAATCTTAAATTTTGTTGTTTTTATGAATATTAGTATTAGAAAATATTCTATATGAATTAAAATATATAAGAAGAAAAATTAATATCAAAGAAAAATTTGCTTTTTCTTTGAATAGTTTATAAAATATTGAATCTCTTAAAACATAATTCTATTTTAAGTTAAAATAGATCACCCTCATGAGTANGATGTATATTTTACATAGTATCAACCACTACTTTTCTAACAGTCTAAAATAAAAAAATAATAATCGATAATAACTTTTAAATTCTTCCAATTTCCAATGACAGAAACAGTGCTTCCTTAGACCATTATATAACAATCAGTTAGCAATTCTAATGCTTTTAATGTTGCTCCATTTGGCCCAATTAGTCGTTGTCTTCTTTTAACAAATTTTTCTTTATTTCTTGTATAACTTCTAATTTTGATAATATCACAAAATGTTCCATCTTCTAATAATCTTAAACATTATTAAACAGGAACACTTCGTGCCAATAATTTTATAATATCTCTTGCTTTCATAATTGCCCATGGATCCCATGTTTTATTTGTTGTTTTCACTGTTAAAGATCCTTCCAACAGATTTAATTCAGCTCTTATTCCATGATCTTTTAGAGATTTTTTAACCATCCCAAATACTTCTTATATATATTTCTCTCGATATTTTGGAAATAAAGTAGCAAATGAACTTTCAGCTAAAAGACTCCCGTTCATTTCACCTGGTTGAATCTCTGGTATCTTCCATTTATCTATTGTGGGATCATTATCCCAAGGTTTATCCTTTCTGTATTTTTTATGATTTTTAACACCTTCTTGTTATTCAGACATTCCAATAACACTAATTAAAATTATACTTTATTAATATTTATATTTATACCAATTTATTTTATATTATTTATATGATTTATTCCTTTATTATTATTTTCTAATCAAAAATAAAGAATCCTTAAACTTAGTTTATTATTACTATAAATTATTTTCCATTAGAATTATCGTCAGTTGATTTTTATCAAGTTTATGAAGTGCTTTAGCATCTAAATACTTGAGAATAAGGCTTTAAAAGATGACTAAAAATAAAGCTTAAGATAAAGAACTTGAAACTTTTCATTCATTTTACAATTTAAAAATAAATCTTAAATTTTGTTGTTTTTATGAATATTAGTATTAGAAAATATTCTATATGAATTAAAATATATAAGAAGAAAAATTAATATCAAAGAAAAATTTGCTTTTTCTTTGAATAGTTTATAAAATATTGAATCTCTTAAAACATAATTCTATTTTAAGTTAAAATAGATCACCCTCATGAGTAACAATCTCAGCCCGCTTAACTTTTTTTAATGAATTATACATTTTTGGGTTATTCCTCTATTCTTAGTGTTTAAGTGAAGGCTATAATTACGAAAATATATTCAGTATCTTTTAGAGTAAAAATTTAATTCCTTTAGCATTAATGATCGGGATGGTATTACATCTAGTGCTGAATATGAAAATTATTTAAATAAAGTTAAATAATTTACTAACTTGTGCAAAGTGAATTAAATTTATTACTTTATTCAGATAAAGCCAAAGTTGAAAAATTAATTTGACAAGTTTAGAAGAGATAAAGTTTAATGGTTCTTAAATCATTTTATGAATGATAAAATATAATTTATTTATATTATCATACTAAAAATGGGTTTAATTTAAAACTTTATATGTTATTGTTTTTAAAAAATTAAAAGTAGAAGCGGAATTGAAATTTAATCACGGCTGAATTTTTTGGAGGAAAAAATAAAAAAAAATATTATTGTTTACCCGAAGAATTAAAAAAAAAATTTTTTGTCTTTCAAAGACAAAAAGGGATAGCTAAATCAAATCTAGAAAGGTTAAATTCAGAAATTGAGGTTTAAGCTCCTCTGATCATATGTTTTGCCTATTTTGCTGTGCGATAAAGAAAACTTTACTTATAAAGAATATTTGTTCACACTTTAATTAATAGATGGAGAAAAAATATCTTCATACTAAAAAAATGAGCTTTTTCTCTAACATAAATGAAAATTAAATTCTTTGTTAATAATTATATTCATTTATATTGAATTTAAATATTTGAGACTTCTTGAAATTTTGGTGAACTATATTTTCTTTATATTGCTTATAAGGACATAATTTTTGCTTAACACAATTATTAACAAATTTCCTTCGCAACTGGCCTTATTTGATTTTCAGTATATTGTGAATGTATTTCTAAATAGGTAGGCCAGCAATTTTAAGATCTATTAAATAAATTTCAATTTGAAGTACTTTTTATAAATCTTTTGAACTAAATATAATACACTAGCTGCTTGTAAACTAGGATTATATTAAATAAATTTATGATCCAACAACATCAATTCTAAGATGTATTTTCCTAATTAATATGATTTTTAATCCAGTTAAATTAGTTGTTAATATCTATCATAGAATTAATGTTAATTTGTAAAACAAATTTCAAATTGTAATTGCATTAATATGTTACCCTCCATTTCTAATATTTCTTCTTTTGTATAGGTTTTATCTGTTACATCAGAGTAATAATTTAATTTTGGAGGGTAGATTTCACAATATTTGGATGCTATAAACAAAGCAGAAACACCAAGTAATTGAAATTTATTCCTTGATATTTGAGTAGTCTATAAATATGTATCAATTATATAAATAGTTAAGTATAATGTATCTGAAACTAAATTAAATCTGTAATGCACATCCACCAACCAATCTATGAGTATTGATCTCATTTTATAATTGATCTCTATTTATTTATCAATATAAGTATGATCAAGTGATTTGTCCTTACTCCTACAATATTTATAGATGTCTTTTGCATAAGCTGACACCAATTATGGATTGTTATTATTTTTATTGTCAATTTAATCTAATTCATCTATTTTCATTCTTTGAGTTTAAGATTATGATTTACTTTATCTAAAATTAGATAAATCCTTTCCAAAACATCTCTCCCCCATACTTAGACGAGGTACTCTATTTTTTAATCCCATTTCATTTTCATCTATGTATTGCATTTAGAAAATTTGAATAAATTAATATTACAGTTAATAATTATATTTATATATGCTCTTTTATAACTTTATCACATTTAATCAAATAAAATTAACTAATCAAGCATTCTGTTGATAATATGAATCATGAAAAATTTATATTTCGTCAATAAAATATTTGTTTGCAATGAATTCAGAAAAACTTTATGTTTCAGAATTGAATTCTTTGTGATATTTTATTAAAAAGCCAATTATTTTTATTCCATCGAGCAAACCTATGTTACCACTTCTCTTTTAATATAATTCATGTTGACATTTCTATAAAAAGTCAACACAGAATCGATTATTTAAAGATTTTCCATTCTCTATAAAATTCAAAATCTTTTCATTATTTTAATTAATTAAAGTTTTTGCAGCATTTATCATTGAAAATACTAAATCGTTGTTATCCTTTTTTTTTTTGCAAATTTTTTAATTGTGCCAAAATTGCATTATAGGGAACAAAGTATCATCAATTAAAGTTAATTTCATATCATATGATTATCCGATCAATTCTTTTAATTGTTCAAAATGTTTGTCAATTGTTTTGAATCTTTTTTTTAAATGTGTTTCCATCAAAGTTAATAAAGTTAGATATTTATCGTTTTACTTTTTCTCAAAACCATCAGCCTTAGGATCCAGCTAGCAACATCCAATAAATGTGATCAAAGTAAAAAGGAGACTATTTCTATAATCTTACAAATATGATTTTTCATTTATTAAATTTTCTTAATAAACTTTATTCAATAAATACCTAATGCTTATTTATACAAATGGTTATAATTATCGATATTTAGTGCCTATTCGTAAGCTTTCATAGCTTCTTCCAATAGTTTATTTTATTTATAAACATTTCCAAGTAAGAAATGTGCTTCAGAATTATTAGGATTCAATTTAATACAATGGAGGTAACTTTCAATAGCTTCATCATATTTGAATAAATTTAGATTGGCTTAACCAATCTATATTAATAATATTATTACAATTAAATAAACTTTTTCTAAATCTTCCTTACCAGTTTTGACATATTAATTTAAATATTTTAAGGCATCTATATATTAGTGTTATTCATTATGACAGATTCCAAGGTAATACTATAAATTTTAGGAAGGATCGATTTTTTTCAAAGATGAGAAAATTTCGAATGATTCTTGAAAATTATTTAATTTAAATAACATCAAACCTAATAATTAGAATAATATTAGCCTTTTTCGTATAAGTATTATTCATTTGATGGTTCAATATTCAAGATTTTTTCATAAATTTAAAGAGCTAATTATTCTTTATGTGTGATTTTATAAATTAATGCTAATAAACTTAAAATATCTATATTTGATGGAAATTTTGTAAGACCTTCTTTTAAGCAAATTATGGCATCTTTAAATTTAAGTTATGCTTAAAGTAACTTTCCTAAATTAGACTAAAGCATACCTCTAATAATAAAAATTTTTGGATCATTCTGATTTGATTAGGAATATAAATGCTCATAAATTGATAAGGCTTCTTGAATTCTATTAAGTCTAATTAAAATTGAAGCTAGAAATAAAATTAAATCAGACCTTTTTTTTCCAATAATTCAAAATTAGATTGTTAAGTAAGGAGAGCATCATAACATATCAAGAGTTCTTCATTTTTGTTGTGATATTCTAAGATATGAACTAGAATTATAATGATGTATTAATTACTTTTTTCTTTTAATGCATCGATATCATTTGGTTAAATGGTAAGGATTTAATTGAGAGTTACGAGACAGGCCGTTTATTATTTAAATTGATTTTAAATTTATGCTTTTAATTTTAAAGCTTATAATTGAGTTGGTGTATTATCTAAAATTAAATTTAAGAGATCTAGAGCTTGTGTAAGTCTTGAATCTTGTAACATTTTTACAGCTAGAAAAATTATTATTATATAAAACCTTCTTTAAGTTAATCTTCAATGGATGCTTATTTAAATGGTGTTTGTGGTTACGTTTGTGATAGTTTTTGAATTTCTTATTTGCATTTAAGGATATATTAGTTTTGATCATCTAATTTGAGGGCTTGATCACAAAGTTATTCTAATTTATCATATTATTTAGAATGGCGATAGACATAAGCTAAATAATCAAAAATAATCATACCTAAAGCTACATACCCATCAACGTATTCTGAATCAATATTGAGTACCTTTTAAACAGTTTATTCAGCAAGATCAAATTGTTTTAAATCAGATAAGGTAGTTGCTTTACTAAGATAGTAATGTTTTTGAGTAGAGTCTTATTTAATGGCTAAATCAAAATAATGAATAGATTCCTCTTTTCTATTCAATCTTGATAAAACATAACCTAATGGATAAAGATAAAAGAGTACCTAAACTATATTTAAGATCAGGTAAATTAGGATTAACTTGATATGCTTTTTCTAGAAATAGTAAAGCTTGTTGATAAGATTTATTTAAGATCATGATACTTGCTAGAGTATAGAATGTAAATAGTAAACCTAATTCATTTAGAGCAAGAGCATGATTAGGTTATTTTTGAATCGTAATTTGGAAATATTCTTGAGCAGAGTCAATGTTATTTTAATCAAGGTAAATAATGCCTAGAGAATGATAAATGGAAATAAGGGACCTTTAGAGTAAAAGGCATCAATATAATTAGGATCTATTTCTAGAATTCTATCTAGAAGAAGTGTAGCTTATTCGAAATTCTGATTTTTGATGAGATAATTAGCTATGGATTATAATATAGAGAAGACCTTTTTTGTATAATTTAATAATTTCAATTTGATCTATTGAAGCCAAGCTAGAGGTTTAGGAATCGTTAATATTATTATTGATTGGCTAAGTTTCTTAAATATCTTGAGTCTTAGCAGATCCACAACCCATAATTATAATATTATAAATATAATATTATACATGGAATAAAATAAATAACTAATATTTTGATAAATCTATGTATGATAAATCAAAGTCATCCTCATTCTAATAATGGGAAAGATGGTGCAGCACAGATACCACAAGTATCACCTCCAGCAAGTCTAATGTGACCAGCTTCTCCCCAACTAGCTCCCCAAGAGTTTCTAATCTTCCAAACTCCATCAGCTGAAACACCAACAAGAACGACTCCGTGATTTAAATTTTTAGTACATTTAGTTAAGATACCACTTCCTATTAAAATTAATATAAATAATTACTATAGAATTACCAGGGATTGGCATCAACAGCGACAGCAACTGTTCTATATTAAATAGTTTCTGCTAATTCAGCACAAGTATCAATGTCATAGAATCCTACAACATATCTGTAATCTCTTCTAACTGATGTCTTGCATACTCCATCTTTAGCAGTGTATGGATAGTCTTTAGCTTCAGCCAAACCATTATCAGCAACATACTCGTAAGCAGAATCCATCCAACCACCATTACATCCTTCGTTATCATATGGTCCTGAACAATCAACCAAATCTTATTCAGATAACTCATATCTTCTATTCAATTCGATCTCTGTGTTTATTTCAAGTGTTCCTACTGCTGAAAATGCCCAACATGAACCACAATTTCCTTAATTTTTGACAGCTGGATATTTTATGCTCTTATCTGTTGTCCAATCTATTTCAGCTCCCTTGTATTAGAAATTTTCATTTTGACTGTTTAATTTAGCTTTCTTTGGTACTCTTAAACTTAAATATGTTTAAGCAAATTCTTATTAACTCATATCAGCGAATTAATTCAATTCCAATGTATATGTTGTCTCTTCTGGACTTTCATAAAATGCTCTGATATAATTTAAATTGTCTGTAAACACCTTGTATCTGTACATTTCATCTCTTTGGTTTGTATATCTCTTTTGATATTTTAATTTCCAATTTGCATAAAGATTTGCTGTATCAATTTCATCTGATACTTCTTATGTGTTGTTTAAGTATAAGCTTGCACCCAACAACATCATCAAACCAACTGTCAATAAGGTTTTCTCCATTTTTAATATATATTACTCTTATTACTAAAATACATCACATAAATATAAATACACGATGACGTAATTATCATTAACCTCATCACGTATATAAATTTACTACAAAATTTTGTTTATCTCACAATTAAATCCAGCTCTATTTCATTCTATTCCATATCCTATCCTATGTAAACTCATCTTAATTCAATTTCTCCCCTTTCTAATCTCTCCTCTTTTTTAATATAAAATTGTGTATTATTAAAAAATTTAAAACACATATCAAATAAATCATCTCTATTTCACAATTTCTATATCTCTATCTTTACATTAATATACTTTCTCTTATCATTTTCCTTAAAATTTTTTTCTAATTATTACACTTATACAATCTAACTATTAAATCCAAGCTTTAATCATATTTCATCCATACTCATCAAGTCTATTCTACATACTTCTATCTTAAAAAACTATTATTTATGATTCTATCAAGTTATAATTCTATAAATAATTCTTACAATCCTATA